TTGTTTGTCATTGACTACTTGGAATCACCACTTCGCCCCTCTCTTTAACAACAGCAATCATTTTCCAAACGTCTGGCGATTTTCTTGTGACCATGCCGAGGCCTGGTCGGGTTGTCAGACTTTAGAAATAAGATATTATAGCTAAGGAAATTTCAGTTCGGGAATCGGTAGGTTATTTTTAATAATTTTGTTATCGTTTAATTTCTGTATAGATATATAGAATAAAATAAACATTCTACTCCTTGATTCAGTCTATTGTTCAGTCCACTTTCATCGGCTATTATACGCTGGTAGCTACTGCTCAGTACTGACACATCACAGGCATTGGTAAGAGAAGCTAACTATCTTACAACTAAAAAATCTCTGTATATCAAGCTGGGAAAATCAAAATGCAAAAGCTGCTGCCTGAAAATGTATGGTGGCAGGTGAAGCAGGAAGGGGAAAACCAGGGAGGCAGGGATTCCTGGAGAGAGACATTCATGTTGAGCTAAACCATACAATGGCCGGACTCTCGCTTTGCTCACCACAATGGCTGGATCAAGGGAGCATGGCCTTGTCATTGTATTTAGAGGACTTTGTGATGATCCTACAATGCAATCAGGATGTTGGTGTCGTGCTTTGATGCGCTCGAATAGGTTATTGTGGGCATTCCCGCCTTCATTTGCCCGGTTTGAATCATATTTGCGGATCCGTAGACATTCCCTGGAGATTCGTCGTGACATTTGAGTGTGCTGGCTGGGTATGGTGATGAGAATGAGGATATATGCTGCAATTTAATTCAGCTCTCCGATAACAAAAGGCTTGTGCATGGCTTCTCTCAAAATACTATGCTTTTCTGTCAAACAAGACTGTAGTGCTGACAATAGATACTCATTAAGGACTTGCTTTTGTGTGAATGCTTATCCCATTGAAGAGGTTGCAGAATTTAAGCAATACCCGTTGTCAATGCAGTTCAATTTTCAGGGACATTAAAGTACAGTACATTCCGAATCTGCATCCTGAACTGTGATTGCCGTAATAACAAATGAAAGCAACATACAAAATACAATACAAATGAAATCCAGAACTCAAACCGGTATGCTGATATTATTGAATTCTTGGTTTTCTGGGTTGGATGGCACAACATTTCTGAGACTTTGAAGATATTGAGCCACATGCTCTTGTTCGCTGTAGATTGCCCAACCACACGCTGTTCGACGGTGGGGATCTAAAATCCAAGGGTTTCCTCCTCTCCCCACAAGGAATTGCACGGAATCCAATAACCCGGCTAGTGCCGCGTAATGAAGTGGAGTACCAAGTCCCGCCCTATGGTTCATCGCGAAATCCTCAGGAGAATCTTGATCCAGCAACTTGTTGATATTCGAGGCATTTATCTCCGGGCATTTGTTGTAAATATATTCCAGAACTGCCAAGCTGTCTGTGGTCTTGCGCATGGCTGAGTAGTGTAATAGCTGGCCTTGGGCAGATGATCCCCCGTTCTCGAAGAGTATCTTGATGACTTCAAATGAACCCTCCAAAACAGCGAAGGACAACGGTGTACGGAGTACAGTCGCGGACATGACAGCGTTTGTTTGGATTGGCACCATGCTTCAAAAACCATTCGAGAAGAGCTGTGTTGTCAAAAGTGTACCTAGGATACATCAGTCATCAGAGACATTACAGGCTATCTGGCAAAACTCACACAATTGCTGAGGGTATCTTTGTATCGACAGCAGCATTTATATTATATCCGTGATCAAGAAACAATTCGAGAACACTACGACACTTTTTTTTGTGTCGCAAGAGCAAAGTGTTCGGGAATCATTGGTGCCCATTCATCTAGCAATCGGGTGACACTATCGGCATTGTCACCAGTAATGGGCAATACGCAGTTCTTTTGTCAGATTTCTCATCCTTGCAACGAAACCGAAACGTAGATACTTAAAGATTGAACCGTTTCGAGCATCGCTTCCTGAGAGCGATCATAATCAGATGATGTAGCCATTACTGAGGTCATCAACTGTTGGGGTTTGGATTAGTTCGCCCCCTCTACGACCACCATGGCGCTGGTGGTGATCGAGCTCCTTTGCCCCAGTGGCCTAACATCCGCTTACCCATCTTTAGGTCATGGGGCAAACGAGCTCAAACACCATGCTGGTAGTAGTGGGGACGAACCAGCCAATCCAACAATCCAACAGTATCTGTCTAATGTACTGTTGTAATTGGCGTGCTGGCAGCTGAGGTACTGCACTGGACCATATGTATTGGCAACCCCCTCTACTTTTCTGCCATAAAAAGCGCCATGATTGTAGTTGGGGTTGCCAAAACCTATGAGCTGGCACTGTAAACATGTCATCCAACCTCCCCAGTAGTAGTTTTAAGTAGACTGAAGTGGAAGAGCGTGTGCAATTATTGAAAGCTCCTTTATCATCCCCAGTTAACCTTCAGAATGTCTACTTCCCTTTTCGTCCAGGTGCACATGAACAAAGTCGACTTTGATTCTTTTGCAGATGGACAGCTGAAAAGATCAGTAGGAACCCGGAACTTGAATAGCTGTACCGCCGTCGCGTTTGTTTCCGGAAAAGGCGTCATTTTGGCCCATATATCTCCTCTGCCCGGCCTTACGAATGACCCTGATGTTAGCGAGAAACATGTGCGAGGAAAAATGGCTGAATTTCTAGATCTTTATATAGGCAAGAAGTGTTTTCGTCTGGAGCCTAACATCAAGAAGGCCGGGATATTCTGTGGAATATATATGGGACAGATCGCTCTCCCAGATCAAGTGAAATTTATCGAGTCCGTGCTTTTGGAGAACTTGGAAGACAATCCGCGACCTAGGGTGATTTCCTATTTGATCAACCCTGGTGGTCACAGCCGAGCTGCTGAGGGCATTGTCTTCATTGATGGCAGACATCCGACTCCAAAGGTGTTTGTGGAAGACACAGACCAGGGCTGGTTTTGAATGTTCCGCTGGAGTAAGTTCTCCTTACTCGTCAAACGCCTAAATAATTGTGTTGCTTTATTTAAATAAATAGACTATTGACTAGAAACGCCGACCTTGCCCAATATTCATCTGTTGTTCAAAGCTCTTGTGCATTTGTCTACGGGAACTCGATATGCATACTTATTCAAATATATTGCTATTCTCTCCCCACCTTTTGCTTTTTTTTGATTCTTCATAGTTCACCGAGGATATCAAATAACTATCACATGTTTGGAGCGAAAGGGTCTCAAGTCTCCCATGGAAAGAAAAGACCTCAACTTTCAAGAAGAGCCTCTCATCTCGGATAAGAAACATAATCGGGCTCCCGCAGATGAAGAGAGACATGTCGAAGATTTCTAAAATCTATGAGCATGATTGTTATTATCTCGCAGGCTTTGATACTCTGGGGGGATGTGTGCCACAGATTTATGAACATATGTTATGGCTGACGGGTCTCGCTTTATTGATTCCCATAGAGCATCGATTCGATTCTCGAGTTGAACGTCGCTCCAATTTTTCAGATTGATGAAACAACAGCTTTGAGATCGGCTGAATGTAAATATCTAAAATTTAATTGTTATATCTCCGTTGGCACTTTCGAGATGGAACGCTCTTCGAACAAGAATTGCCTGGACGAGACATGATTGCTTCTACATTGGGCGCTCTTAGTAACAAATCAGATACATTAAGAGGCTTCACCTTCACTGGATATATAGATATAGAAAGAAAACAGAGTTTCTTTGATTTTACGATATCTTACCCAGAGCACCAGGGAGAGAAAGATTGTATACTATTTTCTCGTCGTTCAAACATCAACTCCACATGCCTAATTACATTGCTACATGGGATTATGACGGACCCCTGGTTACATATTTATCAATGCTGCTGTGTGGGGCTGATAACGGGTTCTCATTTAGATATCTTCACCACTCCGTAGTTAGCCGTCAATATAAATATTTCCATTGTTGCTCGCTCTATATAATCCAAGCACGCGACTACTTTTTTGAACATGGGTAGAGATCTTAAAGAGCAGCGAGGCAACTATTCAAGGAGGAGAAAATTATTGTAGTTGAGCAAAAACATACAACAGCCGGGATTCGCTGGTGGTCACCCACCCAACTACTAACCGGCCGGCGAGCGGCTTAAGTATGGCTGAGCGGACGGGAAGCCCTGTTTTCCACTCCCTATGGTCGTATGTGCTTGTTTGTTGCTTGCCAGCTAATTTATAACACAAAATGCAGCACTCGTCTCCTTTAAACATACCAGTGCTACGGAGTAAAAAAAACTTATTGTCAATTCTGACCTGGAATTCCCCAGGTATCAAGCTCCCGTAGCTCCTACTGACCCGCGATGACATTCGCAGGACGACCGCGATTGTTACTCTTAGAAACTAGAATGGCCGCAACTGAAGTTGCTTGGGCGTTCTCAAATTTAAAGGCCGTCAGGTTGGGCTGCTTGAACCCCTGGCATTAATTGCTTTCGCAAAAGTTCCGAAACTGGTATCATGACATGGAGAATTGATGCTGGGTGAGTTACAGTACCCATCTCCAGTTTTTAACAGTATGCAGATGTCTTTCTGTTTGGAACGTTGAGTTCAGGAAGGGCCAGCTCATCGCGATTTGACCTGGCCATCTACAATTGATTCCTGGAGCACATCCACTGTAGGAGTAAATAAAATATCATGTCCACTTGTAGTCAGGAAAAAAATATATCTGGGACCCCTTGGGAGGCCAGGCTTGGCAGCGACCAAGCATGTCCTTAAATAATCGCTGTGACTCAAAACACCCCTGGATTCTTGGACAATTCAAGCCTCTCTCATTGCTGTTAGTAAATATTCAAAGTTCTAGAGATATCTTCTCTACCGTTCTTCTCCGTTTCATATGCATACCCTGTTTTTTCTTGTCGTTTCCTTGGACGTCGTTAAACCCAACC